GAAGAAACACTACAAGAAACAAGAAATGTTTTTGAACATGTTTTAAACATGCTGTCCGCGTTGCGAAAGTGCGTTTTGGAATAGAGTTGAAGCAACTGACTTGCTTTTTAGTTTTCTTGGCAAGAAAAAAATTATTTTCTACAAGTTTAACATATGTAAATTGACATTCTGGCCTGTGACGATAGAATGGGCAGTGTACCTATTGGTTGACAGAATCACGGCATCCTCCTTAACAGGTGATACGGCTGTGGCTTTTTGTGGCCTTAATTGTGCGTTTTTTTTTCTTCCAGCGTATCATACATATCTATTTGTCTTCGGGTACGCTGGGCCAGTACGAAACGAATATAAAAAGAAGTGATATGCCTTAAGAAACAAAGATAACGTTACATTGTATCTATGAAAAGCTGAAAAAAGAAGACCCAGCCTTAGCGCCTACCAATAATAGTAACGTTAGGCTAACTTTACTACACAGAATGGCTTGTTATACCTTTTTTTTTTTTATTTCTGGTGACTTAAGTGATAGAACAACATGTTAACTGTATTTGGCATAAATGATATTAGGGTCGTTCCAACATGTAACGTTAATACCCACAGTGTTGTGTTAGTTATATAAACCGTTAACTACCCAATCGTCCAATTAATGACGGCAGTTAATAGGACTTTCTCTGAGCGTTCTCGTTGACTTTTGTATAATGCTATTATGCTCAGCATATTTAGTAATCTAACCAAAGTAGCAAGGAAGTTTAAACCTTCTGTCACATTTAAAGGTTACGGATTTCGCGCGCTAACCATTTGTAATCGGAACTGTGGTGTGATACAATGAGGTCAAAGGTTGGTGGCTAATATCGGGCACGCAAAGTGACACTCAACAAACACACGTCAAAGTCCACACGGCGTTTTCCACAGCGTTACAGCCATGTCCTGGTCGCAAAGGGACTGAGAACTCACGACAGAGAACCCCCTTGAATCAGAAAGACCCAGAAAGGTCTTCAAGTAAGTAGGAGTGGATGGCAGTGGTCCTGAGGAAGTGCAAAAGAAATGGCGTCAAATTGGTCCAGCAAACATGTTCTATCGGCTTCCTTAAGAAGAGACTCCCGATCGTGGAATGGCTGCCCAGGTACAATCTGGAGAAGTTCCAGGGTGATCTGATCGCAGGTTTGACGGTTGGTTTGACAGTAATCCCCCAGGGGTTGGCGTATGCTGCAGTCGCAGAGCTACCACTTCAGGTGAGGTTTTTATAGTGATTTGGACTTGACCGGAAGTGTGATGGGGTGGGGGGTGGTGTATGAGCAAAAACTCTAGTCTCTGATATCTTAATACTAGTCAGAATCTGTTATAAGCAGAATTGCAGACACGGTGAACCAAAATTATGTAAACAGTTGTAAGTAGGTCAAACTGGGGCCACTCCTGTCAGTTGTGAATGCAAAAATTATGATAGATCAGTCATTGTTTTTAGTCACACCGAAGAATAATTAGGGCTTAACCTACTTGCATATGCATATATAGCCCTCCCTCAGGCATTCCTAGTAGAAAAGCCTGATTCCTAAGATCCCTTAGATTGAAGCAAACAATTGGCTAAAGCCATCTTGGAATGTGATAGATGCATGCCCAAAAAAGGACACACGAGTATGCAGAATTCAGGAACTGTAAACAAGATGCATGAAAAGTGGCCTGCAGGCGGATTTGAGCTTCTCATGAATAAAGAATGGTTCGAACAAACAAACAAACAAACAAACAAACAAACAAACAAACATTTATGGTTGTAGGTTGATGCTGAGTCTATGTTTTTCCATCAGACATGTCAGCCTCTTAAGAAAGATCGCAATCAATCATGGATAACTTATATCTTGTTCTCTCATAACAGTATGGTCTGTATTCAGCCTTTATGGGCTGTTTTATCTACTGCCTGTTTGGCACATCGAAGGACGTCACACTGGGACCAACGGCCATCATATCACTGATGACGGCCGAGTACGCAAAGGGAGAACCCACGCTCGCTATCGCTCTCTGCCTCTGTGCAGGACTTGTACAGTTTGCCATGGGTGTCTTACAGTTAGGTAAGTGTTGAATACTTGATGTTTCTGTCCAGAGTGCCCTTTAAACCACAACTACATGTACAATGTAGCTAATGTTAACTCGCGGACGTTAACTGTAGTCCATCGTTGTCCTAATCACAGCTAAAAGTACTGGTACTAGAATTATTTTTCCTCACTCTATCTCAATGAGACTTAGACCTTGTAAGAGTATCTTGCTGCCTTACATTGTATGATTGTACATGATTACCATTTTTCTTGTCCAGGTTTGACATGAGGGCTCTTTATTTTTCCCTGTAGGTTTTTTAGTGAATTTTATGGCATTTCCGGTCATCTCAGGGTATATGTCAGCTGCAGCTTTAATCATTGGGTGTGGTCAGCTGAAGGTAAGACATATGTGTACAAATCATCTAGGAAACCTTCTTGCATGGTTACTTCTATCTTCCTGTATATTACAATACCATATCTGCTCCCATTCGTAGATTGTTGACTTTTCTTCTGGGTTTATGGAAAAAGGAGTCCAGTCCGATTGGTGGAAAAAGCAGTCCAGTCCGATTTTGGGGTGGAAAAAGCAGTCCGGTGGTTTCTACGAAATTTTACGAAAGACCATAGGCACAATTTTTTCTTGGGTGTGTGCTTCTAGTTTCTATGGGTACTTCGAGTTTCTATGAGTACTTCGAGTTTCTATGAGCACTTCGAGTTTCTATGGGTACTTAGAGTTTCTATGAGTACTTAGAGTTTGCATGGGAACTTACAGTTTGTAACTTACATATCATCATCATCATGCCTCCGGATTATTACTTACATATAACAATAATTAGTCAAAAGATGAAGTGGTCAACTGACGAGATTTCCAGGGCTGATCCTGCTTGCAAGTAGCCTGATTAAATCGCTTTACGGTTGCCAGCTGTCCAACATCCAGCCGGCCCCTGCTAAAGCCACGTATGGCAGACTTTGCATTACACCGACAAGCATGTAAGTACCGGAAGTACAATTGTAAGAAAGAATCCCTTAATAATTAACTTTTGTTTATTGTGGATAGGTGACCTGTATGTATAGAAACTACTTTTCGGTGGTCCCAAGAGGTGTAAATCAGTTGTCCGCTATTCCTCACCCAAGGCTGCCTGAATTACGGGTTAAGGCGGCATATAGTGAGTCATATATGCTAATTCAAGTTCCCATACAAACTCTAAATAGTCATAGAAACTCTAAGTACCCATACAAACTCTAAGTAGTCATAGAAACGCGAAGTACCCATAGAAACTAGAAGTACACACACAAGAAAAAATTAGTGCCTATGGTCTTTCGTAAAATTTAGTAGAAACCAAAATCGGACTGGACTGCTTTTCCGCCAATCGGACTGGACTCCTTTTTCCATAAACCCTTTTCTTCTCCATAAGATACCAGTGCTTTTTTACCTTCACTTGTCAAAAGTTTGTTATGATCCTTCTCTCTGCTTGTGCATTTGGTCATTGCTTAACTGCTAGGCAAAATATATTCCTTCCACAATGATAGTACTAGGGTGGCACCACCTTTGGTTTCTTCTTGGCTCAATGCATCACTTCTGTGGGCACATTTTCAGCTATGAATGCTTATTATTGCCTTTTTGTATGAACACCATGAAAACCTCCATATGCATGGTAGTGTTTTATATTTAGTTCTATGTTTAACATGGCTATTTTGTTCCTATTTCTCCTTCTAAGTAACAATACGGGGTAGAACTAGGTAGGTCTGTAGTGGCTTCTTTTGTGAGTGAAGACTGTGCTGTGAGTTGTGAGCTACATACATGTAGTCCTGGGGGAAATGTCTTGTGGTTTCTTTACGTGAAAATTATACAACCATGTAAGGGACAAACCTAGAGATATTATGAATAGACAACTTTACACAGTCAACCTATGATACATCTTGTACTGTCTGTAAGATTTTTGAAAATGTGATGTATGTATTGCATTTTGTGTCGTAAGTGAATAGTTTACTGCAGTTGCAATGGCATTGCTTTCATGGTAACATGATTATTTCATTGTAACACTATTATCTGAAGAACAAAGCTGTTGTCTGAACTGTTGTATCAACCAAGTTACTAGATAATACACTTCTTCTGTTACGGTACTTGTGTATTGATGTATTATACAACAATACACAACACAATGTGTATTATTGTATTATAAACTGTAGTAAAATGCATCACAAAGTGTCATTGTTCTTGCTCAATCGTAGCTAATCTTTGGACTTAAAGATGTTCGGAGAGACTTCATCTGGAACATCTATGACACATTCAGGAAACTGCCAGAAACAAAGTGAGTGGAGTTAAGGTTTTACTTGTCTTGTTGTAGCTACTCTTTGTACACCATTCCTTCATGTCATTGTGATGATAATGCTAGTGTTATACCTAGTATCACAGTAGAACTATAGAAGAAGCTTAACAATCATAACAAGAAGTCATTTATGATAATGTTTGTTTTCCAGTCACTGGGACCTGACTCTGGGAGTTATATCTTTTGTCATACTGTTAATAATGAAGTGGTTAAAGGACAGGGACTGGGACAAAAACAGGGACCCTTTCACACCCCTCACCACAAGACAGAGGGTTGGGAGGAAGGCTGTATGGGTCATAGGAACCGGTGAGACATGTTTACTAATGTCTTGTCAAGTTTGTATGCATAGATACACAAGAATGTAGAGCAAAAGAAAAGGAGATGTATATTAATATGTTTTGTAGGAAAGCTACCACCTGAATAATATGTGTTTTCTGTGTGTGGTAACTTGGTTGAGATAGAACTATGGTTTGTAGTAAAATTTACTTAAGACTGTGTCTTCACTACAGACTTTGTGCTCCTTTAGAACCTACAACACAGCCTTAGTTTTGCTGTAAAAATGTATGAAAAAAGGTCTGCTTGATTATTATAAAAATATGTTTCTATTGTTTATTTCTCCAGGAAGGAATGCTCTTATTGTAATTGCGACGACAATCCTTGCTGGAGTTCTATTCAGCAACAACATTAAACCCTTCACGATGACCAAAGACGTGCCACCAGGGTTCCCTGATGTGGGGCCCCCTAGCTTCTCCTACCAGCATAACAACCGTACTGTGGAAGGGGAAGAGTTTTTAAGTGTAAGTGTGTGCAATTATGTGTTTTACTGTAGGGATTGACATGTGAATTTCAGTAGTTCAGTTTACAGTAATCATTACTATTATATGCACATGGAATATTTGCAAGAAAAAAAAAGAAGTGCTATTAAAGATGGTATTCTCCAAAAACAGGGAGAGAGTTTAAGAGACATTGGGTTTTTGGTATAGAATTAAAATGGTAGAATTAAACCGGTATTTCCTTGCAGCATTTAGGAGCCGGGATTGCAGTCTTACCTCTCATTGCAATACTTGAGACCATTGCGTATGGTAAAGCCTTTGGTAAGTCAGAATTCTTTCACAACACATGTTATAAGCCCAAGCAAGGTTGCAAGAATGAAATGCGCTGTGCCAATTTCAAGTTATTAAAGCTTACTATAGATTCATTAATGCTGTATTTTGGCAGTTTTGCTGTTTTGCTCTAAATTACCTTGATATATCCTGGCAAAGATTAATATGAATACTTTTTAGTTTGTCTTGGAAATGATTAACTAATACATGTAACAGTTTTTTCATTTTATCTGCCACTCAAAAGTCACACAAAAGTTAATACTGATGATGATATCCTCTTAATCTCGCTTCCTTTACAGCTAGTAGGAACAAATACAGAATAGATCCTACGCAAGAACTCTTAGCACTTGGTAAGTACATGCAACACAACCTTACATATTAATATGTACCAACCTGATGAAACTGTTCACGGAGATCAAAAGGTTGTAGTTCCAATAAAAAATTCTATTGTGATAAAACAGAAGGATTGCAGGCCAGCCAGTTTACTGCAGTACAAACAGTTTCTTATAGTGTTTCTATTTTGTTCAGGGCTCTAGCCAGCACCAGTTTCCCATCAATTACCGGAGCTTTGCGGCGTGTGACAGAATTTTTTTACAAAATTAAAAAAATCTTGGGTAAAAATATGAAAACATCCGAAGGACCACTGACAACCACTCTCAACACCATGATTTGTCTCTCAGGAATGCGTGAAATTGCATTTTTGAAGGCTTGAAAATCCAAAATTTCCCAGGGAAGCATGCCCTTAGGTAGTCTTGAAACTTTCGAGACTGTTTTTTTTACAATGTAGGTCTAATTTGGTACACACTGAGCTCCCTTTGTGCTTTCCTCCTCAGGCATGTCCAACATAGTGAGTTCGTTCTTCGGATCATACCCCATGTCCTGTAGCGCCTCCAGAACAGCTATCAACTCCACCAGTGGGGTTAGGACTCCGTTAGGCGGCATTTTTGCAGGTCAGTCATTTTGATAATCTATAAAAACGTTTCTTGTACTTTGTTTTAAGATAATACCTGCTGTATTTATATTCTCTCTGGGCATTTTTGCAATAATTACAATGTATAACATGGAAGCCGCACTCCCTATGTTGTTGTGCTTAATGATTGATAGTGTTTTTTTCTCATTTCTAACATGTTCATTTATTCATTCCCTCTTGTTTGTACTTAGGGTTGCTGGTGATCCTAGCCCTTGCGTTCATCATGCCGTATTTCCGGTACATCCCCAGTGCAGTGCTGGGAGCAGTCATCATTGCCTCAGTTATCAACATGTTTGAGTATCAGGCCATCCCCAAACAGTGGAGGATACACAGTGAGTTCAGGCACCGGGTTGTATATTGTATTATGATTTTTCAAATGTTAAACTATCAACTGTTGTCATATATCTATTTTTAGATTGTTTATTGTTTTGGAAGAAGTATGAAATAGAAGAACGGTAATTCAGAACCCGATTCCTCTCATTGGAGAGTACACAGTGTCTGTGCCAGCAATTGGTGCTATGAAAATAATAGTGATTCATATGTGAACTTGACACAGCTGTTTCTGTTTTTCTCCAACACAGAACAAGACTTGTTGGTGTGGATGGCGTGCTTCTTATGTGTGTTGCTTCTGGGAATTCAGGTAAACACTTTATCATTTTCCATATTTTGGACTTCGAAATATTTTGCATAATATCCCAGAAGATTGCTATGTATAGACATATAAAACAACTGACTATTGTGTTAGTTATGCCCAGAAAAATGGAGAGTCCAGAATTTGAAAGAAATGCCTGTCGACAGTGCATGTATTAAGCCACCAATGTTTATTTTAAAATGCTTTATATTTTGTTTATACATGTAATATACCTTGTATCATATTTATGATCTGATCTATCTTGTTTCCACAACAGTTTGGCATCCTTGTTGGAGTGGGCCTTGGGCTGATTTTTGAGTTGTATGGATTAGCTAAACCTGGCACAAAGGTATTACATCCTATAGAATCTGTATTTTTTGTTTGTGATATGCAAAATAAGTAACAGTACTAGTTCCTCTGCATCCATACTAGCTGTACATGTAATAAAATGTATATTTATGGTTGTAATTCATTAATAATAAGGTTGTGCCAAAAGGGGACATTAAGCTGTTGTCCTATGCTTGAACTAGTTGAAGAGGACCTCAATCATACATACTGAAAAAAACACCAGATTTGTTGATATGAATTGGGGATATGTGCTAATGTAGCATGGTCATAAAATCACCACACTGTTGAGCAGTTGCCTTCCAATTTCAATAAAGTAGTACGGTAAGCTTAAGGTACATGTATGGTGCATATATACATGTAGGGTAGATGTCAAGGAAAAGAGAGAGTCAAAACATTAGGACTTTGTGATTTTTAACTGAAGTTGTAACCTTTCCAGGTTGACATCATTGACTGCTGCCCAAAAATTGCTGTGATGAGGTTTGAAAAGGGTCTGTCCTTCCCTGCATCAGACTTTATTGTCACCACCATCCACAATGCTGGCTTGGATGGTAAGTTGGCTACCAAAATTGAAAGTTACCATAAAATACCATAAAATACCATAAAATCGCATATTTTATCCAATATGTTGAAGTAGACATCAGTTAGATGTATTTAGTGTTAAGCTGTTTTTAGCTGGTTATGATTTTTTTTCTGTATTTCAGAGCCGCCCTACAAACCTGTCATTCTAGACTTCACCCATGTGTCACATCTAGACTTCAGTGTCATCAGGGTAGGATTTTTCTTCAACATTCATGAAGTTTTGTGTCATTGTCTAGTTGCAATATTCTTAGATTTGTAGGACATAATAATAAATAATAAAGGTTTTTTATTGTCCAAACAGTACCCGTGCAGTCGCAGCCTTTGACGGCTGAATTGATGCAGGGTATCACATAATAATCAATACAAATCATAACAAACAAGTAATACACATGATAACACATATATTTTCTCCACAATTTTTGTGGAACTGTCGCAAGGGTCTGTGCGGCTGCCATTCGGCGCCACAAGGTGACCTCAATACGACTTTCCCCAACCGAAGTTAGGTACCCATTCACACCTGGGTGGAGTGAGGAAAGTCGTGTAAAGTGCCTAGGCCTTTCCCAAGGGCACAACGTCGGGGTGCATGTTCAGACATGTCCCGGGTATGACTCGGGTTCGAACCCGGGTCTCCCGGTTCACAGTCGAATGATCTACCACTACGCCACCCGACGCCACTAATCCGACGCCACAAGGACATGTAGTAAAATGTTAACTTCAATTTTTGCTCAAGTTGCCAGATGACAAATGAAATTGATGATATAGTTCTCAAATAAGGGAGTGAAAATTGAAAACTGATGAAAATGTAGCCTCCTGTCATACTAATGAATGACATTTTTCTCAAAATTTCAGGCACTCTCCATATCTGTTGAAGAGTACGCCACAAACAACACACCCTTATACTTCGCCTGTGTCAGTGTAAGTAAAGAACTGCTGTTATAAAGTACTGCTGTTATAACGTACATCTAACTGAATTTGGTTAAGTTAAAGTTAAATCTACACATATGTTCCTAGACAAAACATTTTATCCTCATAAATATGTTAGGTTGGAGTCTGTGAGACCTTGTACAAAGTCATAGAAGTATCAATATCTGATGGAAATACGGCAATGTTCTGTATAGTATGTCTGTATGAGCCATAAGGTGTTAGGTAGTAGCATCTGTTTGCTGGCGAATCAGCATGTGTTTGTACTAATCTTTTTATGTTCCCTTTGTTTCTGAAGAGGAGTTTGGAAATGAAGCTGAAAAAGGCCATTAAGGACCTCCAGTGTTTCCCTACAGTCCAGCTGGCTACAGAAGCAATTCTTGGTAAGACTTACAATGATTCCTAACACTTGTGATTTTACCATTTCTTAACGGCTTACTGATTCATTAAATAATCTGGGCAGTGTGCATAGGATGATTCCAAACGTTCGACCCAGACTATCTTGCAATGTTCGTGATTTTTGCAAAGCGTGTGTCATGTTGCTATTATTCGTGATGATCAGAGGCGTGTTTTTCAATGACGTCCTTAATCAAATTGAATGTGATGAATTTTTCTTCCAAAATTGCACGTGATTTCTGCTGAGAGCTAATGTGATACTTTCAATGGTACAGATGAAGGCGTACATGGGTGTATAGGCATGGGTTTCACCGAGGGGCAAAACCGGGGAACCCGGAGAATAACCCCCGGTACAGGTAGGAGACTGCCTCTGCAAACCCTCCTCCTGCACGTGGACATGGGAACTGAACTCTCTTTTCATGTTTTGTTGTACTATACACGCTACTGGGCCTGTACCTTGGCTCAGTAGCGTTTCATCATGGGTGATGGAAGGTACTTTTGTTGGAAATTATTCGGGTCATCTCAACATAAATCTTTTTGTATGCCAACTTGGTCTGTGTTGTGTTATTGTCTGTGTTTTGTTGGTATGTCCGTCCATGTCTGTGAAAAGGTAATTCTGTCAACAAGATGGCTTGAGAACAGTGCACTTTGACATTAACATCTGATTGGACAGATCACTGGCCTAACTCTCTTGTAGTATTTTAATTTACTGCTGTTGCTGTAAACAACCACTGTAGACTAAAAGTCATGAAGTTGTATCAATCTTCATGTTCATGTTATTAACATTTAATATTAATTTTTCAAAACATTTCTAAACAACTAAATTTTCTAACATCATTCTTGCACTATTCTTGGACTAAAAAGGCCATGCTTATTTTGATATTATTAAATCAGGATCTAGAGATTAGCCTCTTAACCATAAAAACTGAGTAAACTATCCTTCAATGCAGATGTTTCAATCTGCATCAGTTTGTTCAGTCCCTATTCCATCCTCCTTTCCAGCATGTGTTTCCAGTGCTAATATGTCTTCCTGCCAGTCCTTTCTAACTATGTTATTCTGAATGTCCAGCTGTGCATGTGCCTGATGTCACTCATACATTGTGCTGTATGCATGCATAACATGGATTAGAAGTAATTCTCCCACTTGAAAAAGATGCAACAATGAAATGATTCCTTTAGTTGCTTATTGTATTTCTAACTGGATGATTTTGGTCATTTGTCCACAATCTCGTGTTCTCAGATTTTTCTGAACATACTGGTACCAATTTCTCACACAACAGTTGTTCTTTCTGTACCCCACCCCCATTATTTCCCCTTATGATGTTCAAATCTCTCCTTGTTGTGGGCCGATGTATGCTGTCAAAGGTCAAACTTATGAAGTATTATAACAATTCTGAATCCAAACTTTTTCACAAAGGTCCCATAGTATGTAACAATATCACCAAATTGCATGCATGCAAGGGAGGCACCCATTGCCGTATTCTATCCATAACTTCTCAGTGTCTTTCACACACAGGTGCCTCAACAGAAGACGGAGACGTCCACCAGCCCATCCTGATGACAGAACTGTCCTCAGACCATCTGGACGTCTCCAGTGACACGGGCGAGGTTCTACAGAACAATATATCCTCCTCAGGTAGAGACAATCATGAGACAGCTGTCTAGTCAACATCCGGGAGTTACCATCACCCCATCCTGTCCTGCCAGACATGCAACTTGTATTACCTCATACGAAATAGCAAGCATTGGCCCTGGCCTCTCAACCTGTCATTCTGACAGCATTAGTGCAGGCCAACTATCAGCCAATCAGACACTTTACTCAGATTTTGTTCCTGGGGAAAATTACCAGCCAATCGTGCTGTCTGTTAGTCTCAGGTGGCAAAGTGATTGGCTGGTAACTTATCAGTGGATTACAGCTGAGAGGGGTGGATTTCAGATTGATATGCCTAGGCCGATGCTTGCTATCAAATGTGTATTGTGTAATACAAGATGTTCAGGATGGCAAAAAAAAATTCTTGTAGTACACGAGCCTATTATGTGATCATGACAATGGTATCGTTTGATTAAAACTAGTTTTGTGAAAACAGGAAAGCCATAAAAATGCAGCAATATTTCAGAAGAGGGTGCATTTACCTCACCATGCTACAAAAATGAGCACAATTGAATATCATCTTAATTTATCATAACCAATACTGAGACTGAGCAAATTATTCAGTCTTTTTCCAGCAGGGTAAAAGGGGCGTGTGCAACAAAAGAAGAGAGTTTTCTGACTGTCTGCTTGCAGCTTTGGCAGTCACTGCCAGTCAGGAACATTGATTACTCACAACAATGTTTTGAATTAATGATAATGGTGCCTTAGCTACTGCTGCTAGCAATGGTGTAATTCTGTGAAGGTGTTTCAACTCTTCATGAGTTCTGAAGGCAATCCATTGGGGATGTATCATGGCCGGTAACAAAGAAAGATTTGTGTCATCTGTAAAGTTGAAGACACAACCACCATAAGACTGGTGTAGTCCTTGTGTAGAAAGAACAATGGGATTTAGTGATGATAATAATCCATGAGCAGGAAAGAAAGATGATTGTGGTGCATGTGTCAAATAGCACAGTAGTGGAATCCCCCAGTAGGAGTTGTTTGGAAAAAAATATGATCAGAACAGTATGTGTTCCAGAATTGAGGACAAGGGTTTTGTAGTGGATTGATGCCTTGTAAAATGAGCACTTTTCTGTGTCCACTAAGAAGCAAATAGCAAATATCTATGAGACAAAATATACTTTGCTACTTTCTATAAATCATAGTATTTTGCTAATCAAGATCAAGATATCTTTTATGAGTACCTAACCATTATGTAAATATGATGTTTCTTGTCAGATTTAGCTGTATATGAAAAATGCTAATTCTTAATAGGGAAATCTATTGATCAAATAGGTCCTATGGACTGCTTGTCACCATAGCAAGGTGAAGATTACAACACTGTAGTGTTTGATCGGTTGCTTGATTGTTCATTCATGTGACTTTGTGATATTTTATGTCATATCCAATTACTACAGCTAAAGCCGCACACTACATTTGTACTGTACTTAACCCAAGTTCCCCTTAGGAATCATAATGATTTTAGTTTTGTTTGACTCTTTTTTTGTGAAAAAGACAAACATGAAATTCAACAACAGTTTTGGGTTTGGTATGTCTGTATAGTGGTTTGTCCAGGAATGTAGGTCAAGGTATTTTAGTAGGTTATGCCATCAGCCAACAAATGGTAACACACCAGGAGTGTGTGGCAACGCACCCTAATAGTCGATTTGAGCCAAAGCAATCTGCACAAATACATTACATGGCACATGGTAAAAGCAAGTACTATAGAAAAACCAACCCAAATAACACATGACAAACCTCAAGTTACTTCCATAAAAAATGGTCTGGATGATGTGTGGGGTATACTTCAAGATCCCCTGGATGGATTGCGATGGTACATGTATTTTGCAGGTGTGTAGGTTGATTTTGGGCACCTGGTGATTGAACTTTGTTCTGCAGTAGGAAATTTTGAAAATATCATTGGGCCTGGATGTTCTGTGCATCTGTAGTTGTTGCAATATTAAGGGTTTAGTGCTGCTGCCTACCCCTGTGTCAGGGACACCGGCAACAGTATCTTTTCTTGTTCGTCCCTGGTGGTCGAGGATGACCAATGGCCTTGGCTCATCACTGTCTCAGTTGATGGGTCTGGAGGTGGTATAGTCAAAGCTTTGATAGTGAGTGAGTGGTGTAAATTTTGGCCCCCTAGCTGTTTGATGTGGCCTTTTGGTGTTTTTGTTTGGTCAGTGGGTAGGCACGTGAGCCTTTGTGTTTTAGCATGCATTAGCAGGTTCTTGTAGATCTACATTTAAAAAAAAAATCTTACACCCCTTTTTCTGACGGATTGATGTAGTATTAGTTGGATTGCAGGTCACTGAAATGGAAATGGTGTCTGTTGTATCAAGTTTCATAGCTGTAACGTCTGTGCTGTGGTAAGGCTTTAATATGGGTTTTATCTTTCATTATGCAGATGTAGACTTTGCATTGCCTGTGAACCCAAGAGTTGTCTCTGATGGTAGGTCATAGCCTGGACGTGGGTTTGAGTTCATGTTTGTCTCTTAACTGTGTGTATGTAACTGTTTGTA